GCTAAAAGATAGCAGACACTAGTTGAAATTTGCACCCAGGTGGTGAAAGGGGTGTAAAAATGTAAAGTTAGTAGAAAAAAAAAAGAATAAAAGTACAAACAAGTGACAATTCGTTGTAAAATAACTAAAACAACCAAAATGTGCAGTAAAAGAGTTCAAATGTAGCTAGAAAATCTTAAATTAGGATAAGGAAGCATAAGGAACACAGGTTTGCTGAACTAAGCAGAAAGAAGCTGAAATAACCACCAAAAAGCCTAAAAAGCTAAACTTAGCTACAGTAAATATTAGCAAAGATTGGTGCAAATAGCTGAATCTAGCAAAAAGTAACTGTAAGAAGCATAAATAGCTCAAATGAGCAAAAAGAGGCACAGAAAGTAGAAAATAGCAGAATAATATTAGATAGAAAACGAATTATAGCCCAAAAAAACCAAGAAAAAAGCTAAAATGAGAAGAATAGAAACTAAAATTAGCACAAGGAAGTAAAAATAGAGCAGAACCAGAACAAAAGGTGTAAAGGTTTAGAAACATTTTGAAGGACTTTAAGGATGTTGAAAACAGCTCCATTCATTTTCAGTGGAAAAAATGTGGCTGAAAAAGTGAAATAGAAAAAAAAGGTATAAATAGCTGAAATACCAAAAGTCATAGCTGGAAGGAGCTGAATGTTTTGATATATTAATTGTTAAAATAGCGCAAAAATTGTAGCACAAGATATGTGCCAAAAATGTAATTTTTTAAAATCTCAGTAGTGTGAATGCTACGAAGCATTCACACAATTATTGAAGTGTTTTTATGAAACAGTCAATAAATATCATTATAGGATGCATCATTACACACTTTGATATTTGATTGAGAAAACAGCTAAATAGACCACATGGCTGCACAAATATAACGTTAAATAAGCTCTCTTTAGTCACAAGTGTTTTCACTTGCGTGGTCCTTCTTTAGTGCAAGTTCGTTTTATGTGTTTTTCTGACACACCCAGCGATGCTCTGGGCTTTTAGTGAGGCCAACAGAAACACATCTTTATTGCTTCACGTGGTAAACAAAATGAAACACGTAGCGTCGTCATATACGTCGTTCACGGTCCTTTCTGATTCAAGGTCTGCAGGACACCATGTCGGACAAAAGCGACCTAAAAGCGGAGCTCGAGCGGAAGAAGCAGCGCCTAGCCCAAATCAGGGAGGAGAAGAAAAGAAAGGAGGAGGAGAGGAAGAAGAAAGAGGTGAAGTGTGCAAACACGTGCACGTTTGAATTTGTTCTTTAAGTCGTGTTGTGCTGACTGAGAGGACCTTTCTCTCTCTGTGCATTACGAGCAGTCAGACAACCAGCAGAAGGCGGAGGTGACCCCAGAAGATTCGGATTTGGATCGCAAGCGCCGGGAGACCGAGGCCCTGCTGCAGAGTATTGGCATCTCCCCGGAGCCTTCACTAGGCAAATCAAACTCTTATCTGCACTCATCAGTTTAGAAAACAACCTTTTTTTTTTAGTGTTGGTTCTAATCTAAAACCCTCCAGTCMTGTTGATTAAATTTTCACACCCATGAGCCCCTCAGAGATCAGCTGTCTCTAGTGGTCTGAYGCCGTAATAACACCTTAAATGCCTCTAAAGTGGGTCACTGTCAGGCTTTTTTGAAAAACTGAAGCTATTTATAGTGTGCCTAAAACAGCTGCACGCAGACTGACAATACATGACAGAAAAGGAGCAATTCTCCTGAGATCCTGTAATGGTTTTCCACATCTGTTTTATTTGTCTCTAATGTGCTTTGCTGAGTTTTTTCCTTTCTCATGCTGTTAATACAAAAACGTTTTTTTTTATTTTTACATTTAGTCCCGACCCCCGTTTCCCCCTCCAAATCAATGAGCACGCCCAGTGAGACGGGGAGTCAGGACTCGGCCGATGGAGGAGCCGCCGGCAGGTAAATCAGACGCAGAAATCTTAACTGATAGAAACATGTTTGAAAATATGAAATAAATGCATTTGTGGCATTTAAATAATCAAAAAGATAAATTCTAGAAACTTTATTTATTTAACTTTATAAATTGTGAAATCACAGACCTTATTACAGCCATATTATCTTAACAGGATTATAATTATAATGATCGACATCATTTTATTGTATTGTCCCCCTTGATCTCAACACAACAGGTTCAGGTGAGTAAAGGTGCCTCGTGAGGTTTTAATGTGGTTTTTGTGTCAGTATGTTGTGATCTGAGTGTTTTGTTGACCACTGGTTTCGGTGAGAGGAAGAATTGTTTTCTTAAACATTTTGAAAGATTTATTTCAAGCTTTGAAGGCAAGATGATGTGCCTTTCATTACCACACAATGTTGGTGGTTTTTGTTAAAGAACAGTGGTCATCAAGCACTTTCCATTTGCCTTTTTTTAAATGTCGGCTGACTGTGAGGTCGATGTGTGAGTGTTGCCTTCAGAGACTGTAAGTGATTTATTGTTTGGGGTGGAATTGAGTGAGAAAAGTTAATCAAAAAACATATATAT